TTCTACCTCCAGATTTACGTTCATATTCCGATGTGGGAAAGATGCAGGTCCACAATAAATAAGTGCTATTTGAAGAGTTTTAAAAGATACTTTAAATTTCTAGTTTTTAGGTCATTTTCATCTTCTGCACTTCATTTCATACTCAAACCAATTAAATAAGTGGTAGTTTCATTTTCCTAGCTTTATAAATATATACAAATCTTTGTTTCTAATAGGAACAATTTCTACTTGGGTTGTGACGTACTTGTTAAGATTTAGGGGATGTAGTGAAAAATCTCATCTACTCTAGGTTCGAAACCAGGCCATTCTTGTGGGATTAGTAGGTGCATGTTAGCTGATGCAGAAACTCACAGTTAACCAAACAAACAACTTTCACAATTGTAATTTGAAAACCGGCAAAAACATACCAAAGTTGTTGCAAAATCTATATTCATATCKCAAAGATGAGAAAAGGTTGCCAAATTACACACAAACAAGAAGAGATAACATTCATTCTTATTCCCATTTCTCATCCGTCTCTTAGGGCAAGTTTGAATTTGGACTTGAAATCACTTGAATTTAAATGAAATCGTATAAACATTGTATTTAGAAATCTCATGAGATAGTTGGTATTTCGCTGCATTTGTTTGTAACAATAATTTAGAAAACGTCAAAAACATTCAATTTGCAATTTGATTTGAGACAAGAATACTTTTGACAGCCATGGCCATTGATGTTGAGCTGATGATGACATGCTTCTGCTTACAATTTTCATCTTTACCACTTCCTAAATTTCCACAATCAGCAAGATTCATAACTTTTATAGGGTGAGATAGGTCGTAGAAGTGGAGGTGATAACGTACTTGAAAGGGAAGGATATGCTGGATTTTCGTTGGGACTTGTTGCTTTTGGTATGTTGTTGTATCAGCCACACTTTGTGGAAGTCATAATTGTTTCTAACCATGTACTCTCTAATTGAAGGTCGTGGCCTAGATGCGATTGGTTTTATGGATACGTTACTTGAGCGGTTGTTCCAATATGCCGGCGGCAAAGAGATTCACAATCTAACTGCCGTTTGAATCAGTTCACCACATTTCTACAGGATTCTGGCTATTTGTACTATATTTTTGAAAGATGCGTGGTATTAGGAGCTCATGTGGATGACTTTGTTGCTTTGGCTTTCCTCAGGAAAGGTCCATTTTCTCCAACACATCGATAGATGATCACAATCGTGGTTCTGGGCAGGTTGTGCGTTACCAAATTTAGAGTATATTTTGGTTACAATAAGAGACTACCGAAGAACAAAAGAAGCATTGAATTTTTATATATAAAATGAAGCAAATTGCATTGAATTTTTATATATAAAATGAAGCAAATTATCGTATACAAGAAAGATGGAAGACTTAGAAATTAGGTAGAGGCCGCGCGAACGCAGGCCTCCTCTGTCACAAATTATGACGTAGG